TCCTTTTCAAGCTCAGATACCCCCTCCAAGCAATCAGAGAGTGTAGGCTTCTTATCATGACAAGAGTAAATGGTAGTGTCGTCAGCGAATAATGCCACCTTAGATGTGAGAATATCTGGAAGATCGTTAATGTAAATTAAAAAGAGTATAGGGCCAAGGATTGAACCTTGAGGAACCCCTGAAGTTACAGGATGTGAAGAAGAGTGTTGTCCATCGAGGACAACTTTTATACTACGATTGGAAAGAAAGGACTCAATAATCTTAAAGACGTTACCAGCTACACCATAAGAAGAAAGCTTATGGAGAAGACCAGCATGCCAAACTTTATCAAAAGCTTTAGAAATGTCAAGTGCGATAGCCTTAACCTCTCCACCTCTATCTAATGCACGGTAAAACCTATCGGTTATTACTGTTAGCACATCAGCTGTAGAACAAGAAGACCGAAATCCATATTGATGGTCAGAAAGTAAGTTATTTGATTCAAGATGAGAGATTAAGTGTTTGTTAATTAAAGATTCAAAAACCTTGCTTATGACAGGAAGAAGACTAATGGGACGGTAGTTAGATGAATCAGATCGCTCTCCGGAATTTTTGAAAATAGGGATAACAGATGCTGCTTTCCAGCATGATGGAAAACAAGACTCTGATAAGCACTTGTTAAATAGTTTAGAAAGTATGGATGAAAGCTCCGGAGAACACCTCTGCAAGACTACAACAGGAATGTTGTCAGGACCACAAGCTGTTGAAGAGTCTAAGCAGGAAATTACTTTAGATACAGAAGCTGAAGTAATGCGAATGTCAAGCAAAGGATCAACCTGTTTGACGGCTATGTCAGGTAAAACGCAACTAGTGGAATCAAGAGATGATATTGATGAAAAGTTCTTAGCAAACAATTCAGCTTTGTCTTTAGGTGAGGTGACAAAGTCTGAACCATACAAGAAAGAAGGAATAACAGATTCGCCCTTATTATTGATACTGTTAAAGATTCTCCAGAAGTCTCGAGAGCCTAATTTTTGTGATGAGATACGAGATTTAATGACCTGGGAATAGCGAGCTTTGGCGTCAGACAAAACCTTTTTACAATGGTTTCTGGCGATAGTGAACAGATGTCTGTTTTCTGGAGAATTGTTTTGCTGATAGATATGGAAGTAACGGTTTCGATTAGAAATTGCTGCAGCGCAATGTGAGGAAAACCAAGGAGAAGAGTGAGGCTTGACCTGGAATCGTCGAGAGGGAATAAAAGATTCCATGCCAGCCTGAATCCACGAAGTTATGTAAGAAGCACATTTGTCAGCAGGAAGACGAAAGATTTCTACCCAAGGGCCATCACGAAGAAAATCACGGAAAGAGTCCCAGTCAGCTTTAAGGTAGTTGTATGTGGTACGATGTTAGGGGGATTCTGATGAAGTAGAAGAATTTGATAATAGTTTTAGAGAGATCAAACCGTGATCAGAAGTACCTAAGGGTGAATGTGGAGAAATTGAGCACTGACTAGGATCCAAAACAAGACATAAGTCGAGTAGAGAAGGTAAATGATTAGGGTTGTCTGGAAAACGAGTTGGAAAGTTGACTATTTGAGTTAGAGATTGAGAAAGGCAAAAGTTGAGGGCCTTAATGCCAGCAGAGTCACCGACACTAGAGCCAAGCTAATCGGTGTGATGGGCATTAAAGTCACCAACAACGACGATATTGGCCGATGGATAAAGAGAGAGGGCTTGGTCAATTTGATCAGAAATAACATCAAGAATAGTGCAATCTTGGGATGAAGGAGAGCGATATAGAACAAAGAGAAAGGCGATAGAGTGAAGTTGTGCTAAACGAAAGCACATAAATGAATAGTCTGTAGATTCAAACCTAGTTTCACGACAAATGGGTGAGTTCTTACGAATGTAGATGCCCAGGCCAAGCATGTGATTATTGGAGTCTTTACGAATTAAAGGAAGATAACCATCAACACTAAGATCACAAGATGGGACAGCCGAACTCAAATTAGTCTCACAAAGAGCAAGTAGGTCTGGTGAACTTTGCAAGAGATAAGACTCAACAGAAGAAAAGTTACTTCGAAGACCACGAATATTAGTAAATGATAGGTTTAGAGAACTTGGTGATGACGATGGTTTTTTGTGTTTTTTAGTTTTAGGTACTTTAGTCATTTTAAATTTATAAAGAACTTGACTCAAGTATAGATAGTACTCAGTACACTATTTAACAACTAAGCAATAGCCTCATTACTATTAATAAACCCTAAGCCGTAACAAAGGGCTCCAAATGTGGCCTCTGCAATGCACACCAAAAGTACAAACAGGGACACCATCCATGCGCAACATGGCACTGTTAGTACTCTGATATTTTTCGGCTGTTGATGGAATCAGCCTCTCTGAGAGCTACCACAGAGTTCGGGAAACCTGACTACCAGCCGGCCTCAGAACCATAAAACTGAGTTTTAGAGCTGTACCCTCATTAGGAGATAATAGAATGAGTTGCCCAGTCATAAAAATAGAGACACAAGCAATACCCACGCATTGAGTCAAGAAGATCCAGCGTTCAACATCCTAAACTGGAAACAATGTATTAAAAATACATCTGCGCCAGCCTAATAGATGCAAATGGATGTACTCGACAAGTTACACATCAGCTTTATTGTTCATTAAAGTCCAGCACATTTATATTTTGTCTCTATATCATTTCGCAGTACTCTGCCATATTTGAACAGTTACTCAGGCTCTTCAAGCTGTTCAAGTTGATCTTCCAGAAGTCCAACTGCAAGTTCAAAAATTACTTAATGTTATAAAACTTCACAGAGGTGAGTCAAATATTTATTTCAAGGATATTTTTTAGAAAACAGCGCAATTGGCACAGAAGATGAGTATTGAACTGATAATTCCAAGGCAGTGCGGAAAACAAAAGTATCGAAGTAATCCGGGAACCATAAGTGTTGAAGAGTTTTTTAGACAAACGATTTACATTCCATACTTAGATTCTCTAATTGGCTCTTTGGAGAGTCGATTTTGTGAAGCCAATAGTGCACAATTTAACTTAGTATTTCTTCATCCGTCTAAGTTGTGCCAACTGAGTCGTCAACACTTTAAAGAAAAAATTCCTACGATTAATAAAGTATACAACATTGATAATTTTGAAACTGAAGCCTTGAGTTGGTTTGATTTTTGGAATGCGCAAGACTAAAAAAGTAGCCTAGATTTTATCGATTTACTACCTTTCACACAATTTTATCCCAGTGTCAGGTATGCTTTATTAGTTTTGTTAACTTTACCAGCAACAACATGTACGGTGAAGCGATCGTTTAGCACATTGCGTCGTGTCAAAACATGGCTTAGGTAAACTATGTCAAATGACCGTCTCTCTGGTTTGTGCATGTTAAGCGCACACAGAGACAAAATAAAAGACTTTATAGATAAAATTATAGGTATGTTTGGTATTGATAACAGACGACTCCAGTTCTTGTTTAAAGAATAAATTTGACTTTAAATAAATGTTGTAAGCTTTTTTTATGTACTACCTTCACGTCTGAATACCATAACAAAACGCTCAGTAAACTGCAGCTAAATTATAAATTTTTTGCCTTTATTTGATATGCTTATCAATGCTCTATTACTTATAATAAAAATCTTTAATTGCTACTATATTTTGTACATTTATATAGTATCAATTAAAAAAAAACTTTATATGGAGGCTCTGTGCAAAGATTACAATGACGTATTATCATCTTCATCTTTTTTGGAGCCAATGTCTATTTAGTTCCTTACATTTAATAAAGATCAATAAAAAAAATGTGAATATTTTATACACAAAAACAGTGCTGACAAGTTTAAACTGTCTTTTTTTTTCCACGGACATATAATTTTTTTCTTCTCTTTATTTTATATCTTACATATCTTGATTTTTACATAATAGATAACAGGAAAAAAAGCAATAACAAAAAATGTTTTGCCCCCCTTAGAAAATTTTCTATATATATATATATATATATATATATATATATATATATATATATATATATATATATATATATATATATATATATATATATATATATATATATATATATATATATATATATACATATATATATATATATATATGTATATATATATATGTATATATATATATATATATATATATATATATATATATATATATATATATATATATATATATATATATATATATATATATATATATATATATATATATATGCCGGTAATGAAACGGATACTAAAAAAATCTCACTTCTCAATTACATGTCGGGGACCACGCTTGTGGAAATCTGTTCATGACAAAAGTATGAAAAAAAAAAAATCTCTTGATATATTTTAAAGAACTATAAAAAACGCTTACTAAATTTAACAAAGCACACACTCTTTCGTTTTTCCTATTAAAAAAAAGTATTTTATTATATATCTTGTTTGTTACTTTTGTTCGTCTGTTTTAATTTTGTATAAATAATATAAATAACTGAATTTAAGTCTTGAAAAAGTTTTGAATCCTAAATTTTAAATCTCTTTTACATATTTAATATATAAAAATATATATTAAATATTGTTATTGAATAGGTATATATCGATTTGTAAATTGTATATATTGATTTGTAAATTTTTATATTTACGTTATTCAATACATTATTTTTATATTTAAATTTTATTACGGTAACTTATAAATACCGATTTGTATTTTTTTTTTTAAACTAAATTTAAAAAAATTAGTAATGTTAAAATAAAGTCAAAAAGAAACTCAAAACCGCAATATAGTAAATCATTTTCACGTGAGTAAGTGCGATGTTACTTACATAACTCTTAATTGAAGTGTCATTTTTTATATGATGAGTTTTTTACCTTTAATAGTAAAAATATTCATCATTGTTTTATAAAAAATCAAACATACATTGTATTTTAAACAAATAAAAACATCTAAATAAACAAAGGTTTGTATTCAGAAATTAAATATTTCATGTAATTTCAATTTTTAAAGTTGAAAACGTTTAC